ACAAAAATGGCTTGAGGACAGAATGAGACTGATGACTTTGCGCAAGTCTGCCCCACTTAAATCCAATTCAACACAAATCAAGACATCACCCTCATGATGTCATTGAAAGACCACCCCCCCCAACAACAAATTATTTAAAAATTAGTTAAGTTGGACTAGATGACCTCTAAAGTCCTTCAGAGTCCAAAATCTCTGTTCCAAAGATCAGCCCTCAGTAAGTTTAGACAGGCTGTCCACTGAGGCATGGAGGGGCTGTGGGCTGCATGGGTGGACCCACATGGAGGAAGCTTTGGATCCTTTTAAACGAGACACAAAAAGAATGGATTTGTAGGACACAGCTGATAGTGGAGTGAGCCCTAGATTTGGAGTTGGAGGATATAGATTTGGGTCCTTGTTCTGCGATTTATCTGCATGGCCTTGGACAAATCATTTAATGTCACTGGTCTTCAATTTCCTCCTCTGAAAACTGAGGAGACTGGAGCTTTCAGACCCCTTCCAGATTTAGATCTGAGGTCCTACGAATGGAAAGGTGGATAGTGTTCAACCTACGTCATCTCGTTTGATCCTCAAGGTGCCCCATTCATGTATCATGTTCATGTACTATGAACCCTCTCTACAGATTAGGAAACTGAGGACCAGTAAAGTAAAGTGACATATCCAAGGTCACACAGCTGGTAAATGACTGAGCAGCCACTCCATGCGCAGGATTCTCTCCACTGCGCCATTTTGCTTCTCAAAATAGTTCTTATTTAAAAGGCAGTGGCATACACCACACCACCTAAGCCCTACGGAAGCTTTATGAGGTGTCATTAACCCCACTTGGAAGAGGAAGAAACTGAGGCTGAGAAAAGAAGACACCTTCTCCTTGGTATCTTACCCACCTCAAGTCTTTTCCTTCTCCAATCCATTCTCCACAAAACTCTCAATTGTTTTCCTTAAATAACTATCTGACCAGGTCACTCCCCTACTCAATAAATGCTGGTGGCTCCCTGTTGCCTCTAGGATGAAATAGAAATCCCCCTGTTTAGCTTTTAAAGCCCTTCACAACTTAGCTTTAACCTATCATTCTGGCCTCATCGTATATTCTTCCCCAGCTTCCATTCTTTCATCTAGCCAAACTGTCCTTCTCTCTGTTCCTCCATCTCCCATCTCCATGTCTTTCACTCACTGGCTGTCCTCTATGCCTGGAATGCACTTCCTCCTCCCCGAGTCTCTCATTATCATCATCATCACCATCATCGTCATCATCTTCATCATCTTCGTCATTATCATCTTCATCATCATTGTCGTCATCTTCATCATCTTTGTCATCTCGTCATCTCTCAAGACTCATCTCAAGCACCATGAGGATCTTCCTTATTCTTAGCCCCCAAGTATTAGTGAGTGCCCTCCTTCCTTAACTACCTTGCATTTAGCTTCAAAGATTTCTTTGCATTTATTCTTGATGTATGTTATATACATACATGTGCACATATATGTATGTGTGTGTGCATATACATGTTGCCTCCCTTGTATTGAATTTAAACTCTTTGTTTTATTTTTGTGTTTGTTCCTACCCCCAGGACTTCACACAGTGCCTGGTACTTTTTTATTGCTCAGTAATTTTTCAGTTGTGCCCAACTCTTCGTAACCCTATTTGGGACTTTCTTGGTAAAGATACTTGAGTGATATGTCATTTCCTTCTCCAGCTCATTTTTCAGATAAGAAAACTGAGGCAAACAGGGTTAAGTGACTTGTCCAGGGTCACATAACTAGTAAGTGTCTGAGGCTGGATTTGAACTCAAGAAGATGAGTCTTCTTGACTCCAGGCCCAGCTCTTGATCAACTTCTGACACCTAGATGCCCTTAGTAAATACTTGGTAGCACTTAGTGGCACTTAGTAGGTGCTTGTTGATCAGCTGATTGACTTGTCCATAGTCAGACTTACAGCTTGGAAATGACGGTGCCATTTTTGACCCTCTCTATTGAGATTTCTATATGCTAAAATACTTCTCTGCATCCCACTGGCCCACCCAGGTTGACTGTGGAAATATTTACAGGAGTCAGAAGGGATCTCAGAGCCATCTGGTTCAATCTCCCCATTTTATGGGTGAAGAGACTGATGCTCAGAGAAGTGATGTGACTTGCCCACAGTCACACAAGTAGTAAATGGAAAGATTGATTCAAACCAGAGCTTCAGACTCCCAAACTAGCGCAATTTCCTTTGTGTCCCCTTCAGCCTCCTTTATGTCAATTACTTCCCCACCTTGTCATCATCTCTGCTACCATTCAACATGAAGATGAGCTAGAGTCGGAGCCGCTGCCTTTGTGTGGGTGTTCTTAAATGGGAGATGAGAGGGTCTAGGGAATAAGGCTTGCTTTGACATTTTTAGTGATGTCTTTTGTTTTAATATTACTTTCATTTCCAAATATATATCTCCTCTCCCCTCTCCCCAGACATCTGGCCCTTGTAATGAAGAATGAGAAGAGAGAGAGAGAGAGAAAGAAGAGAGAGAGACACAGAAAGAGAGAGAGAGAGAAGGAGAGAGAGGAGAGAGAGAGAGAGAGAGAGACAGAGAGACAGAGAGAGAGACAGATCAGAGAGACAGAGACAGAGACAGAGAGAAAGCAGTTCAGCAAAATTTATCAACACATGAGTTGAATTGAATAATCTATGTATGCCATGTCCCACAATCATAGTCCCCCCCTCCTCTGCAAAGGAGGGCAGGAGACACATTTTCTCACCTCTCCTTCGAGACCAAACTTGTTTCTTATAATTAATTACCTAGTGTCCAGTTTGGACATTGTTGTGGTTGCATGGATCTTTTCTGCTTATTTCATGATGCCTCTGTTCATATATAATATTCCCATGCTTCTCTTCTCTATATTCTTCATAGTTACAGGGCCAGGCTTGAAGTCAGGAAGACCTGAGTTCAAATCCAGCCTCAGATACTGTGTGACCCTGAGCAAGTCATTTTAACCTCTGTCTTCCTCACTTTACTCAACTATAAAATGGGGATCATAATAGCACTACCTCTCCAGGTTGTTGTGAGGATCAAATGAGATAATAGGAAAGCACGTAGCACAGTGCCTGGCACATAGTAAGTGCTATTAATAATTGATAATCATCATTATTATTTCTAATGGTGCCACAATATTCCATCACGTTCACGTGCCAATTTGTTCAGCCTTTCCCCAATGGATGGCCAGCTCTTTTGTTTCCAGTTCTTTACTACCACAAAATGTTCTGCTATTGATGTTTTTGGCATGTATGGGAACTTTCTAAAAGCCAACAATGGATAGAGTGTTGGATTTGATTTAGGAAGATCAGTGTTTCAAAATCTACCTCAGACACTTAACAGCTGTGTGACCTTGGGCAAGTCACTTGTGCAACCTCTCTCAGCCTCAGTTTCTTCATCTGTAAAATAAAGATAATAGTGGCACCTACCTCACAGAGTTGTTGCAAGGATCAGCTGAGATCATATATGTAAAGTGCTTTTCGAACCTTAAAAGTGCTGTATAAATACCACCTATTATGATGATGATAGCTTTTGTTGGGAGTATACACCTAGCAATGGGATCTTTCCATTAAAGAGTATGGATAGGTAATTCCAATTGCTTTCCACAATGGTTGAACCAATTCATATTTCCAACAACAATATATTAGTGTGTTTGGGGGCAGCTAGGTGGTGCAGTAGATAGAGCACCAGCCCTGGAGTCGGGAGGACCTGAGTTCAAATCCGACCTCAGACACTTGACACTAGCTATGTGACCCTGGGCAGGTCACTTAAACCTGATTGCTTCACCAATAAGAACAAAACCAAAAAGCCAATATATTAGTGTGTTTGGGGGCAGCTAGGTGGTGCAGTAGATAGAGCACCAGCCCTGGAGTCGGGAGGACCTGAGTTCAAATCCGACCTCAGACACTTGACACTAGCTATGTGACCCTGGGCAGGTCACTTAAACCTGATTGCTTCACCAATAAGAACAAAACCAAAAAGCCAGTATATTAGTGTGTCAGTCTTTCCATAGCCCCTCTAACACTGACTTTCTACCTTTTGCCATTTTTTCTAGTTTTATGAGTATTAGATGATACCTCAGAGTTGTTTTGATTTTGCATTTTTCTTATTGTAAATGAATTGGAGACTGAGCAGTAATAATAATGGTGATGATAATAATTCCTGATGTTTATATGTTGTTTTATCATTTTTCAGCAATATCTGACTCTTTGTGACCCTATTTGGGGTTTTCTTGTCAGAGATACTTGGCAGAATGATTTACCATTTCCTTCTCCAGCTCATTTGACAGATGAGGAAACTGAGGCAAACAGGGTTAAGTGACATGCTCAGGGTCACACAGCTAGGAAGCATCTGAGACCAGATTGGAACTTGGGCAGGTGAATCTTCCTGATCTAGGCCTAGCACTTTATCCACTGTGGCACCTAGCTGCCATACTCACACATACACACACACACACATATACACACATATATATATATATATTTACATTTATATATTTTATATATATATATATACATACATATTTACATTTATATATTATATATATATATATATATATATATATTTATATAATAGGGGTTTAAGATCAGCTGAGTGCTTTACACGAATGGTGTCGCATCATAAAATAAAGGACCCAAGGACCCATTTTCTAACTCTGCGTGCCTAAGAGCTAGCCAGGAACATTCCCAGGAATCCAGACAAATGGCAGAGTTTGAGTATTCTAGACTCTCCTCACTCCCCTACTCATGTTCCAGCAAGAATAAAAAATTCTTTGAACCTCTCATTTCATTCACCTTTGGCAAATCACTTAACCTTTCTGGGCCTCAGTTTTCTCATCAGTAAAATAAGGAACTGGATGACCTTTGGAGGTCCTTTCCAACTCTAAACCTCTCTTTGTCTCTTAGGTTCCCTCTTTTCCTCTTCCCCTGGTCAAATGCCCTATTGACCCCTGCCAATTATGGAAAGTAAGAAAGCTCTCTTTGGTTGCTTTTCCCTTTCCAGATACACCAAGATGAAGACAGCCACCAACATCTACATCTTCAACCTGGCCCTGGCTGATGCCTTGGCCACCAGCACACTGCCCTTCCAGAGTGCCAAGTACCTGATGGAGACGTGGCCCTTTGGGGAGCTGCTCTGCAAGGTGGTTCTCTCCATCGATTACTACAACATGTTCACCAGCATCTTTACCCTCACCATGATGAGCGTGGACCGCTACATTGCCGTCTGCCACCCTGTCAAGGCTCTTGACTTCCGCACACCAGCCAAAGCGAAACTGATCAACATCTGTATCTGGCTTCTTTCCTCTGGCATTGGTGTGCCCATCATGATCATGGCTGTGACCCAGGCCCGGGGTGAGTATGCTGATTCCCCAGATTCCCTTGGAAATGTACTGCCTGTTAGATAACTAGTCCCCTGTTGCTAGAAGTGTCCAATGGTTATGAGCCAGGCAGCAGAGAGAATATGGGCTTCATGTCAGGGTTAGTGAGAATTTGCAAAGCACTGACCAGTAAGAATGCTTGACTGATCAATGGAGAATGTTGATTGACCAGGGAAGTATATGAGTAACTGATCTCTGAGAGTAGGGTGCTGGCCAGTATGGGGCTAGACAATTCCATGTATATTTCTCCTGGTCTCATCTTTGAGCCCACTCTGAGGAGACATATCCCTTGCCTTTGCCCATGAGCTAGGGTAAGAAGTTCCTCTTGTGAATCCCTGGCTGGGATGACTGTTTAGCCTAGCCCCTGGGGTGAGGTGGCAAGCTGCCAATTGCCAGAAAAGCCCAGCTTGGGGTAGTGGGCCTGATGGAGTAGAGAGCTGAATTTAAGACAAAGAGGTAAGTGAGATAGAGCAGTTCATCACTTCCCATAATTGTTGAGAAGCAGAGAGAGCCCTTGACTGGGAAACAGAAAGAGCTGGGTTCAAATTCTGCTTCTGACAATAATTCAGCCATAGAACCTGTCCAGGGCTGAGACCCAAGTGAAGAGAGATCTCTCTGAGTCATTTCCAGGGAAGAATCATGAGAATTGATGTTTAAATAGTACTTTAAGTTTTGCAAAGCATCTTCCACCCACGATTTCATTTAGCCCTCATGACAAACCTATAAGGTAGGTATTATACCAACTTTACAGATAGGAGGATGAGGCTCCAAGAGGTTAATGGACTTCCCTATGGCCACACAATTACTGGCTGATGTCCCTTAATTCTAGTGCATTCCATCTTTTGATTATTTCCAATTTGTCCTGTCTATACCTTGTTTGTACATGGCTGTTTGCATGTTGTCTCCCCTATAAGATTGTGAGCTCCTTGAGGGCAGGGGCTGTCTTTTCCCTTTCTTTGCACCCCAGAAGTTAGCATAGTGCCTGGAACATAGTCATTGCTTAATAAATATTTATTAACTGGCTGACAGCTAGTAAGTATCAGAGTCCGGATTTGAACTGAGGTTGTCTGGTTGGCCACTATGCCACACTGGCCCTTCAGGGTGGCTTTTGATCAGTGACTTTCTCCTTACCCTCTGTGATGCTCTTATTATAGGGAGAGTGAAGCTGACGCCTTTGCACAGCTGTGCCGCATTTATTTATTTATTTATTTTGGTGAGGCAATTGGAGTTAAGTGATGTGCCCAGAGTCACAGCTGTGCCTCACTTAAATCCGATTCATGGACAAGTCACGACATCACCCATGACGTCACTGGTCCTCTTCAAAAATGGAGGACAAACAACAACAACCTTGAACCAGCCCAGAGTGGCAGGTCCTCTGCAACAGGGCTGGAGGGATACATGGGAGTGGAAAGAGTCCTGGCTAGTCAGTCAATAAACATTTACTAAGCACCTACTATGTGCCAGGCACTTTACTAAGTTCTGGAGGTATGAAAAAAAGGCCAAAGACAGTCCCTGCCTTTGAGGAGCTTACAGTCTAATGGGGCAGACAACATGCGAATAGCTATGTACAAACAAGCTACACACGGAATAAAGTGGAGATAATTAATAAAGGGGAGGCACTAGAATTAAGAGGGATGGGGAAAGGCTTCTTGCAGAAGGTGGGAGTTTAACTGGGATTTGAAGGAAACCAGGAGGCAGAGATAAGGATGGACAGCATTCCATGCATAGAGAATGGCCTGTGAAAATGCCCAGGGCTGGGAGATGAGGGTCTCGTTTGAGGAATGAGAAGGAGGTTAGTGTCACTGTTGGTGCTCAAGGGAATAAGATAACACAGAAGAGGCTGCGATGCCCCTCTCCTACCTAAGGAAGGAAAGCAGGAGTACCTAAGTGTCCACTGCAAACATCATACCACAGTGGTTTGACAACCACTGATACAAGGAGACAAGATTGACCTTAATGGACCATAGACAGAGGGATAGACAAACATGTGTCCTCTCAGGAAAGAACATTCCCTCTATTTCTTTGGAAACTCATTGCCTTGTTATGTAATAAGTTCCCTGTCACTAGAAGTATTCAAGTCAAGGCTGGATAACCATTCACTGGCAGTGGATGTCAAAGGATGAAATTCTTCGTTGGGCTGGATAGGCAGACCTCCAAGGACCCTTTCAACCCCAGGATCCTATGAGTCTGTATAACTCATTTCAGTGTTCCCTGACCACCTCAGGACAACATCCCTTGGTAAATATCACCTTAGTGTCCCCTCCTAAAGACCCAATCTATTCCTTCTTGTTGGGAAGCAGTGAGGAAAACCGATCACTGGATTCTCCCCTCCCCCATGCCCACATTTATGGCTCTACCACAATGGAAGCTGTTGTACTCACCAATATGGGGATCCAGAAATTGGTTCAGGCTGACTCTTCTCAGAGCTCATCAAAGAAGGTAGTGGAGGGGGCAAAGAGCAGGATTGACTGCTGTTGCTGCTGCCTACCCTTCCCCCAACTCCCACTGGTGAGGACTCAGCAGCCAGCAAGCCTTGGCCAACCTGCTGACTTGGTCCTGATGGGTAAGGTGGTGGGGGAGAGAGGGAAGAAGGTCAAAGAGGCATCTGGGAGCAGCTCCAGTCAGAGATCAGCACTTCCCTTCCCCACAGGCCATGGTGTGTCCTGTCACCAGCCATAGGATATCCTGTCACCAGCTACAGTATGTCCTGTCACTGGCTGCACGAAGCATACCAGTCACTTGGCATCTACTACCTGCAGGCACCCAGCTAGTCCCTATGAAATTTTGAAGCAGGTTCTCTGGGGGTGGCCCACATTGGTCACTGTCCTCAGCCTCTTTTTGTCCCTCAAGTTAACTCTACTGAGAAGCACCTAAATGGATCAATGACCTTCAGTGGCTCCCTATTACCTTGAATTGCCTATTGCCTCTGATATTTCATCAAAAACCCTTTAAGACCTGGCTTCAGCCGACCTTTCCAGCCTCATTACACTTTACTCCCCTTTATACCCTCTACCAAGCTAGTCTTCCCACTAGTTCCTCACTGAACACACTTCGTGTTCTCATCTTGGGGTATCTACACAGACTGTCCCGCATTCCCCCCAACCCTGCCATGCTTAGAATTCTCTCCACCTCCATATTCTAGAATCCCTAGCTTCCTTGAAAAAGCTTAAACACCACCTCCCATGGGAGGCCTGTCCCAATCCCTCCACTCAAAAATGACCTCCATTTAATTTTGCACATATAGGGTGTCCCAAAAGTCTTAGCACATTTTTAAATTATTAAAGCTAAGACTCTTAAAACACCTTGCATTTTATATATAATATGTGGCAGCTAGGTGGTGCAGTGGATGGAGTACTGGGCTTAGAATCAGGAAGATGTCTTCCTGAGTTCAAATCTGGCCTCAGATACTTCCTAGCTGTGTGATCCTGGGCAAGTCACTTAATCCTGGTTTGCCTCAGTTTCCTCATCTGTAAAATGATCTGGAGAAGGAAATGGCCAAGAAAACCCCAAATGGGGTCAAGGAGAATCAGACACAACTGAAAAAACTGAACAAAATATATCTGTCTCCCCCCTATTGAATGTAAGCTTCAGGACGGGGACTTTTGTGTTTGTATCCCTAGCAACTGGCACATAGTATACACTTAATAGATGCTTATTGATTGAGCTCAATTCAATCATTTTTAAAAATTAAGTACCTACCATGTGCCAAGTCTTGTGCTATGAGCTGGGGATGCAAAGGCAAAAAAGGGAAAGAGTCCCTTCCCTCAGAGAGCTTACATTCTACTGGAGGGAGATATGTGCATAGAGAAATAAATACAATGTGCAAAAAGAATGTCATTTCAAGAAGGAGAGGTGGGCCAGAGGATTGCAACACTTTAGCACTTTAGAAGGTGGGACCTGAGTTGGGCCTTGAAGGGAGCTAAATATTCCAAGAGGTCCAGGTGAGGAAGCGGTCAGTCAACAAACATTTATTAATCACCTACTGTGTGCCAGGCATGGTGCTAATTGCTGAGGATGTGAAAAGAGGAAAAAGACAGTCTCTGCCCTTGATGAGCTCCCAGTCTAAAGGCAAAGCATTCCAGGAATGAGGGACCACCTACTCTAGTGGAGAAGGAAGGAAGAGGAGGGATTGGGGAGGGACAAAGGGGGAGGAGGTGTGGCAAAGGAGGTAGTAAGGAGCTCAGGTTGTTTGTCCTTCAGAAGAGGACCATGACATCAGGGAGGTGATGCCATGACTTGCAAATGAATTGGATTGCAGTGAGGCAGAGCTGTGCAAAGTCACCAGCCTCATTTTCTCTTCCGGAGCTATCTGGGTCCAGTGGCCTGATGTCGATCAGGACGACTGGAGATGGCCCGTAGGGGCCAGCTAGGGAGACAAGGCCACAGAGCAACTTCACAGGCAGAATCTCTGACTTCTGAATCTTCCATGAAGTTTGGAAGTTTGGGTTGGAAGTCCATCTCCAGGTTCCTGATGCAGCTGTCACTAATCTTGTAGACATCACTTGGACAAAACACCTGCCTGCATAATTTGGGGTCTGTTAGCCCTGTGTCTGGGGTGGGGGGAGGGGAAACAAGCATTTATTAAGCCAGGCACTGGACTAAGAACTTTATAAATTTCGTTTCATTTAATCTTCACAACAGTCCTGTGAGTTAGGTGCCGTATTATTATCCCCATTTTATAGTTGAGAAAGCTGAGGCAGACAGAGGATTAAGTGACTTATCCAAGGTCACATAGCTAGTAAGTATCTGAAGGCTGGATCTGAACTCAGGTTTTCTTGGTGCCTGGCCCAGGGCTCTCTCTGCACTTGGCAACCTATTTGACTCTAGGTGACAGCAAACAGTCCTGATACCCAGAGGCTCAGGATGCCCTGATAGGGGGTCTGGAGCTCAGCTGAAGGTCCTTGTCTTCTGTCTGCTTTCTGCTCCCATTTCTCCTTTACTCACATATATATGGGATCAGACAGCAGAATGAGAGTTTGAATGCTTTAAGGCCTCAGAGAAAGGCAGCATCATTGCTAGGGACAGTGACAAGCAGGAAAGATTCCCTCCATTTTAAAAATTAATTTATTTTGATTTATCAACAATCACTTCCATATGCTTTTGAGTTTAAAATTTTTCTCCTCCTTCCTCCCCAAGACTCCTTCTAGATGCTGGGGTTTGAAGTGTGTCTTGAAGGAATGGCAGTGTTTAGCTAGGAGAGGGGTAGAGAAGAGGGACTCCTGGCCCTCCCTGATGGCTCTTTTGGAAATAGCTGTGAGAATCTGTGAGATAAGGAGTCCTCCCCGGTTCATTCATCGGGAACAGCAGTGCACACAACACCTACAAAAATGTAAACAGAACAGAAGAATCCTAAGCTAAATGCTTTGGGATTTGTAATGAGTGAACTTGCTCCAGGCCCAAGAGCAATTGAGAAAATGCATCCCCCTCCCATCTTTGCCTAATGAGGGAGAAAATGCACTTCTCTCCCATTTTTTTAAGGAGGTGGAGGACTATGGGTGTGGAATCTTGCATGTTATCGGACATGGCTGAGTTGGTTGGTTGCCTTTGCTGAACTGCTTTCTTTTCAATCTTTTTCATCCTTGTTGAAAAGGCTCCCTGAGTAGGGCACATGGGAGGAAATGTTTTTTTCTTTTGAGATGAAGGTGATATAAAAGACAAAATATAAAAAGATTTTATTTTAAGTAAGCCAGCAGGAACATTTCAGAGGCAACATGTTCCTGTCAGTACACATAACACGTGCCTAATAAATGATAGTTGACTGACTGATTGACTCAATCTGCCTTTCTCTTCCTTGTCTTCACTCCTGGGAGAGTTGAGAAATCGACATGTTCCCCAGCACATGGACCCTCTGTGGTGATTCCCCTCCTCTTTCATTCTGGGGGGGGGGTTGTTAAGCAGGTGCTACCTATAGGGCAGGGGTGGAGGAGGCGACTGCAGATCTAAGCCCTGGTTCTCATTCTCCTGCCTTGGTGACCCCAGGGCCATAAAAGGAGGAAATGCCTCACCCGGAAGAGAGGGACCCTGGCTAACTGCCTTGCTGTGCCCTCTCCCCCCCCCCACTCCCGCCCCAGCGTGTGTCTAACGAGCCTATTGGGTAACCCAGCTATGGGGAATGGTCTTTGGTCAGTCAGTCTCTTAAGGCTACTTCTGTCTCCCTCTGTGTCCCCTAGACGGGATGGTGGTCTGCATGCTGCGGTTCCCTAAGCCCAGCTGGTACTGGGACACCGTGACCAAGATCTGCGTGTTCATCTTTGCTTTCGTGGTACCCATCCTGGTCATCACCGTGTGCTACGGGCTGATGCTTCTGCGTCTGCGGACCGTGCGCCTGCTTTCTGGCTCCAAGGAGAAGGACCGCAACCTGCGGCGCATCACCCGCATGGTGCTGGTGGTGGTGGCCGCCTTCATCATCTGCTGGGCCCCCATCCACGTCTTCGTCATAGTCTGGACCCTTGTGGACATCGACAAGAGGAACCCGCTGGTGGTGGCCAGCCTGCACCTGTGCATTGCTCTGGGCTACACCAACAGCAGCCTGAACCCCGTGCTTTACGCCTTCTTGGATGAAAACTTCAAACGCTGCTTCCGAGAGTTCTGCCGGCCCTTCCGCCGGGGGCCTCACCGGGAGCCCAGCAGCTTCAGCCGGGCCCGGGAGGCCACGATCCGTGAGCGCGTCTCCACCTGCTCTCCCTCAGACGGCCTGAGTAGGCCGGCCTGACTAGAGCTGGGCCCGGCCTCCCGGGCAGCCCCAGGGGCCGAGCTCCACTCGGAAGTGACCCAGGTCACCACTACTGAGTTTTAGTCGTGTGGTGGGTGGGGGTGGGAAGAGGGCTGCAACAGAGATGGGAGGGTGCTATAGGAAATACTGGGGTCTCTATCCTCTTTGCCTCCTCCCCCACCTCCATCCACTCACGCCACAACTCCCAAGGCGGTCCAACACGATTGGGGCTTAGAGTTTTTTTGAGACTCCAGGGGCTGTGGTTGATATTTCACGCCCTCCCCGTTCCCTTAACCCCCCCACCCCCACCCCAAGACTTACTTGAGCTTTCCTGTAGTTAAGGAAAGATGAGACTCCATGTCTGCTGGAGTCCACTAGAACTGCCCTGGAATTGCTAAGAACCTTAAAACCAGGCAGGAGGTAGAAAGTACCCCTGGGCCCTGGTAGAGGTTCTATCTGTTGGGATTGGGTGAGAGGGTCAGGGGTCTCATTTAGTGCAGACTTATCAGTGAGGAAGTGGAGGAAATCATTTGTGGCATTAGCTCTCTAAAGCTGGACTCTGGAGAAATCCTGTTCTCTTTCCTTCCCACCCCTTCCCTCCACACAGCTGATGTCCCTTACCCATGGATTGGTTTCTCCAAAATCATAGAATGTCAGAGATGGAAAGGAGCTCAGAGGTATCCAACCCAACCCTGACCCGAATAGCGATCCCTTCTGTGGCCAGGTGCCCACCAAGTGGTCATCCAACTTCTTCTTGAAGGCCTCTAATCAATGAACCCACCACTTCCGAAAACTGCCTGTCCCACTTTGGGATAGCTCTGGGTGGTGTGACTTTTTCCCTGTCATCCAATCTAAACTTGCCTCTTTGTAACTTTTACCCATTAGATTTTTTTTTGAGGTGGGGGAAGAGAGATTTGCGGGCAGGGAGAGAGAGAGACCTAGTCTGTCTGGAAACTCCCTTTGTCATTGTTGTTTAGCTGTTTTAGTCATGTCTGAATCTCCATGACCCCATTTGGGGTTTTTTTTTTTTTTTGGAAAGCTACTGGAGTGGTTTGCCATTTCCTTCTCCAGCTCATTTTGCAGATGAGGAAACTGGGGCAAACAGGGTTAAGTGACTTGCCCAGATTCGCCCACTTAGCAAGTATCTGAGGCCAGATGTGCATTCAGGTCTTCCTGACTCCAGGTCAAGCTCTCTATCCACTCTGCCACCCAGCTGCCAGCCATCCTTCTAGGCCTGCCAATGTACAACCTGTGAGGACAGAGACCCTTACCCCGTGACCCTCCCCATAGCATTTCTATCTCTTCATCATTAAATTACTGATGGCAGGAAAGGTGGGGGAGGGGCAGGGGAGTCCCTGAATTAGTGGCAGTGGAGTAGGTTTGATTTATTTTTTCTAAATCTTAATGAAGCAATTTTTAGATTTGCCCCTGACTTGCTATATGGCCCTGGGCAAGTTCCTTTTCCTTTTTGAGCTTTAGCTATCCTTTCACTAAAATGATTGGATTAGATGATCCTTTCATGTTGGAACATTCACTTCTGTGATTCTCTTTCCCCAGAGAACAAAATCTCTTCTCAGATCCTCTCCTCCCCCTTCCTTGTTCTGCTCCTTCTCCCTTCAGTCACGCTAACTTGGGCTCCCATGTTGAAGCGTCGAGCTGACATCCTTGTAAAAACAAATTTAATTTTCTTCCTTTTTTGGGACAAATTGAGGTAAATTGACATTTTTATCTCAAACAGAAAAAAAATGTGAACAATCCATTTCTCCTCTCGCCTTGACAGTCATTTCCGTGGAACAAAAGCCTTTTTCCCCACTGTATCTATGGCGCTGTCACTTACCTTCGGGTGCTTGGGGGGCCAAGCACCCTAGCTGGTGAAGAAAGACATTGATGGAGTGCCAGGAGAGTGGGGGGGTAGCCTAAGGGGCAGGAAGACGGGGGAGACACGAGCTCTCTCATCCGCCCACCTCTCCATACATGTGTAGGGATTGTTTCTCCCCCAAACCCCATCATTGTTTCTTGAGTGTGGAGAACAGGGGAGCCTCAAAGACACACTCTGAACTATACCATATGGAACCAGGGTCTCATCAGTGGCCACCTCCACTTGTAATCCAACCAGCCTAGGCCACTTCCTTGGTCTTTCTTCTCTGTCTACAGAAACACAAAACTAGTAGCAACCCTCTCCAGAGATCATCACTCTGCTGGGAATACACAGACAAGACAAACCTACTGGAGCACTGAATCCCATGGGATGAAACCCTAGGAAGATGCTGAAAACCACCTGACTGGCAAGCCAATGTCACCATGGTGGAAGGAATTTCTGAAGGGCTATGACTTTGCTCAAATCTGCTGCTTATAAATTGCACAGCTCAAAATAAAACTAAATAAACAAACAAGCGAAAGGCCCGGGCTTACCCGAGGCCAATGGCCAGTTTAACTGCTCACCAGCACCAGATGTGCCTCTGCTGCTGGCTTTTATATCGCTTCTCATTCATGCTTCTCATTCAACCAGAGGTAATTATTGTGTGTGACTGGTCCTGGCTGTTCTTCCCAAGTGCTTGTACATGTGTACCTATTTTCTCTCCACTAACAGCTCCCTTTAAACATCTGTGAATAAGATCAGGCCTGACTTTCTTTGCCTTTGTATGACTTTGTTCCCTCAAGCCACTAAGACTTGGTTAAGTCACCTGGAAATCAGTCTCTGGGATTTTTTTGCATATGGAGTAAATTCAGAGATTGCTCCCTAGGCCAGGAAGGAGGTGGTAGGGTATAGAGTTACTAAAGGTGACTGTGACATAGTGGGTCACCACCACCACCACCAATGAGGAGTTGTCATGTCTGCTGCTGGACTGTTCAGCAGCAACTCAGAATCTTGCTTTAGACCTTGGGATGGGCTGGCTACACTCCACAGCTATGGTTGTGCCCAAAGGAGCTGGAAGGGCCCAGCTGCCTAGTGACTGAAACCCAGCACTGGAAGCTTCCTTCCTTCTACTGATTATCTCTCTTAATCTAGCCATTCATTAAGTTCACCGGGGAGTTATTATGCCTCTGACAGAAATAGCATAAGGGAGCTCATTTTTGGTGCATTTGATTTCAGATCTCTTCCCCTGAAGTGACATGATCGGCCCATCCCTGTGTTGAGATGGGGAGAGGGAGGATGGAGAGAGAAAGGGAGAAGGGACAGAGACAGAAAAGAGAGGGAGATACAGAGGGAGAGGGTGGAGAGAGACAGAGAGGGTGGGAGAGAAAGGAGAGAGAGAAAGAGAGAGGGAAAGGGAGGACAGGAAGAGCAATGGGAAGAGAGAGGAGAGAGGGAGATGGGGGAGAAGGATGGAGGCAGAGACAGAGAGGAGAAGGAGAGAGAGAGGGAGAGGAAGGAGACAAAAAGGAGAGAGATAGAAAGGAGACAAAGAGAGAGGGAAAGGAAGGACAGGAAGAGGGAGGGGAGAGAGAGGAGACAGGGAGATGGGGGAGAGACAGAGGAAGAGAGAGGTGGGGAGAGGATGGAGAGAGAAAGGAGAGAGAAGGACAGAGAGGGAGAGGCGGGGAGAGACAGAGAGGAGACATAGAGAGAGGGACAGAGAAACTAAAAGATGGAGAGGGAGAGAGAGAAGAGAGGGAGATGGGGGAGAGACATAGAGGAAAGGGAGAAGGGAGAGAGAGAGACAGAGAGAAAGAGAGAGAGAATACAGAGAAAGGGAGAGGGAGGAGAGAAAGAGGGGAGGGAGAGGGAAAGTTAGAGAGAAAGAGGAGAGATGGAAATGGGGGAAGAGAGAAAGAAGAGAAGGAAATAAAGGAGAGACAGAAATAGAGAGACAGAGATGTGTATGTGTGTCTGTGTGTGTGTGTGTGTGTGTGTGTGTGTTTCCTTTTGGAAATAAGTCTTTTCTTTTATGTTCCTCTAAAGAGCATGAACCCTTATCTATTAGTCTGTGCCTATGAATTGGAATAGGAGGGATGTGGAGAAATAGGTCCAGAGCTGGTTGTGCTACCAGGGGTAGGTGAGAATGAGAATTGTCTGCAGGCTAGGGGCACAGAATGCAATTTGGAAGGTTCAGCATAGTTTCACTGGATTTTAGAAGAGCATTTGATAGCGTATCTCATATTATTTTTGTTGAGAAGATGGAGAGCTATGGATTGGATGATAATATATTCGGATGGATTCCAGTGCCAGGCACTGGGGTTCAAAGAAAGGCAAAAGACAATCCCTGCCCTCAAGGAACTCCCGATCCAATACTCAAAGAGTGATTCTTAATTAGTCAGGAGGTTTACAGTGGGGAGTCCCAGGCATCTAGACTTGGCTCTGTGCCTGAATAAAGGCATAGATGGTACGCTCATTAAGTCTGCTGGTGACACTGAGCTGGGAGGGATAGCTCACATGGGATGACAAAGTCAGGATCCCAAAAGACCTTGACAAAATTTAATAAGAGGATGAAAAGTTATAGGAAAAAAGTTCTTTCCAACTTCAAGGTTAGGGAGGGATGATGAGACAGCAGCTGTGTCAAGACAGATCTGAAGGCTTTAGTGGACCTCAAGTTCCATCAAAGTTAGCACTGGGATATGTCAGCCACAAAAATTGATGAGATCTTGGGCTGTATTAAGACAGACATAGCTGCCAGGAAAAAATGGAGATGATAATCCTATTGTCCTCTATCCTCATCAGACCTCATCTGGAGCACTGTGTTCAGTCTGGGTGCAGCTGAAAAAAAAAATTGATAATCTGGAGACAGTGCAAAGGATAACCAGGGTGGTGAAAAGCCTTAGGTTCATGTCATATGTGGATTGATTGAAGGAACTGGGCATGTTTATTTTGGAGAAGATGCATAGTACATATCATGTACTTGAGAGGTATGCTATCTATCTTCGGTTATTTGAAGGGTTTTTGTGTAGACAAAGGATGAGACGTTCTATTTGGCCCCAGAGGTTAGAACCAAGAGGAGCTGTTTGAGGTTTTGAGGCAACTTCTGGCTTGATATGAACGGGGAAATTACATAAAGTAGTCCAGAAATGGAATGGACTGCCTTGAGGGGGGTGGTGGGCTATCTCTTCTAGGAGAGGAAGGATCTCAGAAGGACGTCACTAAGATTAAGGAAGACTGAGGAAGACTCTTGCTAGAGGTGGGATTTTAGCAGAGACTTGAAGCAAGCTAGGGAAACCAGGAGGCAGAGATAAAAAGGGAGAGCCAGAGTCCCGCCCCCCAATACTAGAAGTCCCATCTCTCAACACTCAGAGCAGGGAGGCGGAGACTCTTCAAGGAACTACAAGGAGGTCAGTGTCACTGGATTGCATTCAGAGTACTTGGACAGGAGTAAGTTATAAGAAGAGTGGAGAGGCAGCCATGAGCCAGGTTATGAAGGGCTTTGAGTGCCAAACATAGGATTTAATATTTGATCCTGGATTTGATTGAATAGTGGGGGGATGACATGGGGGTCTTTAATAAGATTAACTTGATGGCTGAGTCAAGTGGGACTGGATCGGGGAGAGGTAGGAGGCAGGAAGACCAGCCAGCAGGCTGTTGCAACAGTCCAGGCGTGAGGTGATGACCTACACCAGAATGGTGCCAGTGCCAGAGGAGAGAAGGGAACATATGAAAGAGATGTTACAAAGGTAGAAGTGACAAGACTTAGCAACTAATTGGATCTGTGGGTTGAGAGAAAGGGGTCAAGGATAAACTTTAGGATGGGGACCTGGGGAACAGGAATGATCTTGGTCACTTCCCATTCTGAGACTTTTCTATCACCCAGTGAGCAAGGCTAAAGCCTGTGACTCCAGAATGGGGTGGGAGTTGTCCATCTCTTAAAGATGCCAGCACTGTAGACCAGAATATCCCACATACAAGAGAATAACTTTGACTTTTGGATAGTTTACTAAGTCAACCCACCTCG